AATGGGTCATCTGATGGAAAGTAACCAAGCTGTTCATCAACGCCTGCAACTCAGGAGTCAAAAGCGCGTTACCAGCCTTTGAAGAGGAATGTACTTTTTTCATGAAGGTTTGCACGTCCTATCAATCCCGACATACCGCAGGTGATAATTTGTTGCAGGTGACCATGTGAGATGAGAAAAAAGGAAACTTGAAACAAACCCTCTTTTTTTTTTAACGTGTGGAAATCCCCTCGGACCGTCACCCCGCCGGGGCTCTCGTTCGGCGGGGCGGTGTGTCGGACTCGAACCGACTAAAACCACACGGTGTGCCCTCTTTGCGCTTCCAGTTTAGGAGAGGTCCAGGTAGTTATCGCCTTCTTGACCCCTCCCAGCGCCGGCCGATACTAACCCCTGGCCAGCGTGATATAGTAGACCAAAACCTCCTTTATAAGGTAAAATAACCTAAAAATATCTGAAAAGATTTACTTACAGAAATAAATACCATTTAATCATTCAGCAGTGCACTATTAAAGGGTTTTGATGATGTAATTATGTGTGACGCTGTGCGGCGGTAGTCACTTTCCTTCAGATGACAGTCAGCTTGTCTTCTATACTATAAAAATGAATACCACTGCAAAAGTTGTATTCTAAAAAAAAACTTAAATTAGAAATGTTAAAGTCAGTTTGGTTGTTACGTTTTACGCCTGTTTTAATGGATAATTCTACCAATTGAAAGCTACATAATTAGTGAGTAATATAGGCCACTTTTTACTTACATACACGGGAGCGGAACCGCGAGCAAAAACTAGTAAATTATAAGGCAGAATAAATTTAAATATACAAAAGCTTTCAAATCTGATTAATAGAAAAAAATACTAAGAAAATAGTTTTTAGTAGCTTTCAAAAAAGACTTCTATTCCAAGATTTAAGTAAATTTTATTAGATTAAGAGTAAGTACATTTTTTCATTTTAAAATAAAAACACGTATTTTATGAGTTGAGAAATTTTTATTGGATTGTAAAGAAGACATGTTCCGATTAAGTATGGAATACAATATCCGGCAAATGGCCCCCGCGGGTCTGATGACAGGCCATTACTCTTTTCATGAAATTTTCCATGACTTTTACCTAACCTGACGCGTTGAATCTCTGATTTGAGCTCAGAAATTGTTTCTGGTTTATTCGCATAAACCCGATATTTCACGTAACCCATTTACCCGTTAAATCGCAGCATCCGCGGAGTCACCACTTACACGAAAAAAAAAGATTCTAAATTTAAAAAGTGCTCACTTACTGAGACAATCTTTATCTATGTATTTCATAATATTACTCTATTAATAAGCCATTCTTCTAGCGTTGAGAGAGTAAAAAACAATGTTCACACGGAAACAAATGATTATTCCAACGTTGTTCTTGAAAAAAATATGATGTAGGAGGCCAGGAGTGAGGAGTTTTTATATAAACGAGTATCGAAATGCGGAGACAAAACTGTATTAAGTGTACGTGAGGGTCCCACCCTCCGCGTCGAGCCGGAGGGTGGGTAGGGCTGTGCCGAAAGACTCACTTAAGCTGTTTCTAAGAAATATTTTTGTAAGAATTTTGGCTTATGAATAGTATTTTTTTCTGTGGACATTATCCTTTAACTTTAGGTATATTGAAACTGGATGGTCGGATTTTCTTTTAACTTAGTAGTACATTGCGATTTTCATTGAAATCTCTTTCGATAAATATTTTAGTTTCAAAAGTTGTAGGTAGGCTGAGTAATGGGTTCGTACCTATATCTTAAAAGAAATATTGACTGAAAGGTTGTCTGCACGGATAGCGTAGTGGTTTAAGCGGACCTCACGCGACTTCCTACTGCGCTGAGTGTTGTGTGTTCGATCCCCACGTAGGACAACACTTTGTGTGATCTACAAATTGTTGTTCTAAGTCTGGGTGTTATTTGTGTTTGTTTCATGTATGACACAAGATATATTCCTAGTGAGGAAGTTGTCTTTTTTTATATAATATATCTCTAAAGTTTTCAAAATTACCGTAAATATTCGTTATCGTCGTCCGAAACTTATAAATGTAAATAAACAAAATTAACTACACGAATATCGTAGCAGTTTAAGCTATCACTTAGCCGCTACCTACTGCGCTGAGTGTTGTGGGTTCGATCTCCACATGGTACAACACTTTGTGTGATCCACAAATTCTTGTTCTGAGTCTGGGTGTTCTTTGTGTCCGTTTCATGTATTTTTGTCAAGTCCTACGCGACACAGTATAAAAAACTTTGTTAATGTAATACCGCCATACCTTCTCGTTTGTGTAGTATTTGGTGCTATCGATATCTACTCGTATATTTTATGAATAGAATTCAGATTCTACTGTACTTTCAGATTGCATACTTCCATTTTAGGCGGAAATCGAACCCATGGCTTTTGGTTTAGTAGTCAGGATTACTAAACACTAGGCCATCAGGCCAGCCGTCAAATTAAAGCGAGTGAAACCTTGGGCAACAGTTAGTTTCTTTCTAAAGTGCAAAATCCCAACCCTAAAGCACCCCAGAACATTAAATCTCGGGGGCGAGTATGTCAATCAAAATATATTTTAATGGGGCGGCGATTCCGCTTAGGATATTAGATAAATACGGCTGGGTAGTGATAATGATAATGGCCCCCTGAGACCAGGAAATACAAAGCGCTGACTCTGTGATGGGGTTATCTTTTCAGGTCCTTTTTGTAAGCGGTGAGCATTTACATTGTTAAGGTTCATAATAAAATAAATTAATTGTAAAAAATATAGTAAAACAAGCTTTTATTACAAACTAAATGGTAGATTTGATGTTCAAAAAAAGTACTGTTTTTGACGATTCAATCGAGTCCAAACTCGATGGATTTATCTTGCTTAGTTCAGAAGTTCTATATCCGCCTCCGACCAGAACAGCTCCAAGGTACCATATTATTGTATTGTCACAATACGTACACACACAATATGTACATCAAATTTGAGCCCAGTTGGACATCGAAAAGTGGTTCTAGTTTAGCTTCCAAAACAGGAAAAACATTAAAGTAAAATTAATGTTGTAGAAATACGCTCACTAAGAAATATGTGTGATGGAAGTTCAGCTGACAGAGAGTGGAGAGTGATGAGGTAAGAAAACAGTTGGGTTAAGAGAAGATGAAGCGATGAGAATTGAAAAGGGCAACTGCGATTATTTCGACTTCATGAAAGACCAAAAGAATTTATAAAGCCCCTGTAAGTAGGACAGAAAACCGATGTTAAGTGATCCTTTGGTCCCATTCAAATTTGAAAGGAAAATTCTAACCCTAAGGGTGAACATTTAAGAATAAAGTTTAGAGTTTATTATAATTCATCATGATGAAGGAATTACATGGTCCGACAACTTGGTGAAGGTCGCGGCAAGCCGTTGGATGTGGGAAACACTGGATCAGTTTTTGTGGCGAACCATGTCCTGCAGTGGACATCTTTCGGCTGAGATGGTGATACGGATGAGTTCATGTTGAGAGGTGAGATTAGGCTTCTACTCATGACAACAAAGTGACGCCAACTTCCCAACTGAATGGAGTAGAAATTAGCCGAGTAGAAATTAGCAATGTTGTACTTTCGTACATAATATCCTAAATTAACTGCTCTACGTTACATTTCTTTAACAAGAAACTTCCTAAGACAAGTTCACAGAAGCTTATCATGTTGAATATCCGTTTGTTAATAGCTTCGACGACTATTGCCATGGAGTGATCGATAGCCTTGCTTTTAACATTATTGCCTCGCACAAAAAAAACGTCGCCAATACGCTAATTTATACCTTAAGTCTTGAATATAAGCTTTGGTATCGAACGATTCTTCCAATGACTTGAGATATTTGGAGTGTGCAAGTTCTCCCTAAATTCGGAAATTATTGTCTGTCTGTATAATACAATGTGTATTGTTGTAGGTACGAGCATATGGCGGATGAACGTCAAGGTTTAATGATGTACTGGGTTGTTTTGATAGGATTTCCCAGTAGATATGAGAACATGCAGTTTATTTTAAGGCCACTTTTATCTATTTCCTGTATTATCATTAAAGTTATCAATATATGATACCAAGAAATACTTTATTAATATCCTCAATATCTCATAATAAGCTAGTGTATGCTTAGTACTTTTTATATTTAACGACGATGATGACGGTGTGATAAAACAATCGTTGGACATATTAAACATTTTTTTAATACAAATTAAATGCTTAATATGTTTAATAATGCTTAATAATGCATAATTGGTACTTTTTGGTTATTTGGTGGAGAAGAAAACACTTGCACTCTTGTTAAACATGAGTTTTTTTACGTTCTAACGGATAACAGACAATATATTGTAAAAGAAACCTAGGTATAGGATTCTTTATAATCTAATTTTCACCGGGTTTTAAACAAGGCGTGGTTTCTCATTAAACTCATGAGAGCCCTTAGACCTCCTTCATTTGGCCTTATCGTAAAATCCATTCTTAGCTGACGTCTTTTACCAACAAGCTACCTCCCTGCAAATTTCAAGATTCCAGTACAAAAAATCGAGGAACTTTGAAGACATTAAAAGTGATTTTGCATTTATCGGTGAACCCGAAGTTGGATATAAGAAATTTGTAACCATGTGGTGCCGTTCTAGAAACACAGTCAACCGGGGAGGCTAATTGTGTGGTTGAGGGAATCGAGGGCTGCATCACAGTGGTGTCCAATGAGTGTAGTCTCACTTGTTGTTGCTAATGACAAAGGGTGGCAAATAAGTCAGGGATATAGAAAATACGCACGGACAACCTCACAGCTAAACCAGTGTTAATTAATTCTTTTTTTGCTTTTCACCGAATAAATGAGGTCACCGGAGTTCCAACTGGAACTCTGATTCTATCAAGGTGACAACACTCTTATCCCTCTTGAGCTGCAGGTGCTCACTCACCATCAGTTCACTCATCTACCGAAGCACCATGCCCCCTCAATAATACCTCAACATTTTCATGCTAACCTACTGTATTTATTTCCAGGTAAAGTGACATCAAGACGACCGGAACCCTACTATGGGCGATTAATCGGCCGCTTGACACAATACGCCCATGGGATTAGAGGCACCGTGTACGCGGTGGATGAAAACACCGTCTACGTACGAGGGTTTGCCTATGATGGCACTGGTCCAGACGCATACTTCTGGGTGGGAGACACACCACAACCGAGCCCTGAAGGGATCTTAGTGCCGTACCCTGAAGACTATGTAACAAGGTAACTATATTTTTTAATTTTTTGACTGCTACTAAGTTTGTTTTGCTGTTGTTTTTAAAAAGGGTAACCGACTTTAAAGTGCGTAATCTTAGTACTGTCATAAATGCCAATGATTAGACGGATTTTTAACCGCCTTCAAAAAGGACGAGGTTATCAATTAGAATTTTTATGTATGTTCGGGCATATTATTTTCCAATTTGCAATATTATTTTTTTGTTAGAAAGAGGTTTATCCGAAATAGTCCCATTTAAATTTCATATAGATCTGATGATTCAAAAATTACAGCAAATGAACCGCTATTGCTGCTAGGTTTTTAGTGCTCTTTGTTAGTACTGTTTGAAGTCGGTTGAACCTTTTTTTAAAGGATTTATAAATTATGTTAGTCCATCACATCTGATTTGTTGAATAAATCTGGATGAAATTTGGCAGAGATATAAATTTTAGTCTGGTCTGGTCTAGGCTACTTTTGGTGGTTACTACTTAACCATTAGTTGTAGATGAAGCCTGATTTCGAGCTGAGCTACTAGAGTGATGCAGTTTCCTTTAGAATTACCAGAGCTTTTTGATGGAGAGACGTTTTATTACTCAGAAGTAGCACATTGGCATTGCTTACTGTAACGCAAACCGTATTCATGACAGCAATATTCACCTGGAATCTATATCCGAAAATATATATATATCCGGAAAATATATCCGGGAAAAAATATGAAAACTAGGATATAACGAATCAACACTCATATTCGTCACTCATTTACATTACACCTTAAGTAAAAACTAATTTGAAACATATACTAATTTCATCAGTGTCCCAATAAAATACATAATAATAATAAACAATGTTATTGCTCAATTCTTATTCCTATAGCTAACTACCTGTTACCTAACTATTAATATTAGTTACCTAATAATAGTAATTCTCATGATTAAAAACTGGAGTGACAATTGGACTGCTAGAAAGAACTAGAAAATATTTACTGTCGAGTATTTACTAACGAAATCACTACCAGGAAATATATTGAGAGGGTTGATATATTTTACTGATATACAAAATGTTGAATACAGCGTTAACCGGCCCACACAGTAACAGACACTGAGGGGTTGAGGGGCCGGTTATTAGGTAACGATAACCGGCTTTGTTTAGACCCAAACTTTCGGTCACGATGTAAAGTTTGCTTTCAGAGAACACAATGCCAAAAGGTCATGGGTTAGTTTATTAATGAAGCATGATCGTGGGCATTTAGGCTGTTGTGGGGCGTATGCTCTTGTTTATAAATTTCAAATTCTATTGTAAGGGTTCGCTGTAAGGACTTGTGAATATGATATTCGGAAGTCCACGTGTTTTGCTTTAATAACATTCTACATACCTATAAATGTAAGTATATACAATAAACTTTCGGAAGCTAGAATTAAAATTTATATTCGCTCTACTGAAAGTTAGAATCTTTGCTTTTTTTGTTGACGGGGTGGGAAATCCCTTTGGATCTTGAGCTCCTTAGAGTTGCAGAAGCCAGGAGTATGTGCTGTTTCCACTGAAAACCACCCGGACGGACGATCTCCTACCATCTACTCTGGGGAGGACCCGGACTACGTGATTTCAGGTCCTTCCCAAATTGTCACTACGCCTCATCAGGACCTGTAGGAATCTAAAATGTTTGCTTAACATTTCAATAACGTTTTTCATGTAATGGCTGTCAGTAGGTGCCTATACTCGGTGCCATCAATCAAGGACAGGTGAACTAATCCTGCATCGCTCTTTACATTGTTACCTGTGTTATATCGCGGGAAAGCCGTACCTCGGCACATATGGAGCGGAGTACCAGGGCTTCACAAAAAACCCGTTCTTTTCACCGAGTGAGTAAGGTTACCGTAAGACTAACCCACCTCCTCACTCCCCGAATTCTGTGGGGATCATAAAGGGTGTCAATTATGTCTCTTGAGTTGCAAATGTCCGTGATCGGCGGTGTTCACTTACCATCAGGGGACCAATCTTGTTCTATGGGTACTAACTACATATAATACTAATAATATATATATAACTAGCTGACCCTGGAAACGTTGTTTTGCTATTTACATTATTTAATTATTTTTTTTTTTTGAATTTCTTAAAATCTGTTCTTAGCTAACCTCTACTCGGTGAAGAAAAAATTTCAAATTTCAAGTCTTTAGCTCTAATGGTTCCAGAGATATCGTGATGAGTGACTATATACGTGGAAATCTCTTATATATATATATATATATAGATAATGTGTGTAATACACATTTCCTTTATATAATACACAAGTGTCGTATCCCTGAAGAGACCAGTTAGTTTAGTTATTCATGGAACGAAGTGGAACGAATAAATTGTGCGTGACTCGATCAATGCCTCACTTCGCAGTTCCAGTTTTGGCTAAAGAGATCTTTGAAAGAATTTCAATGTATAATGTTATAGGGATTAAGGAGTTTTTTCTTTGGTGTATAAATGTTCTAAATTATACCTATTTTATCTCTAAATTTGAGCTCAATCGTCGCGGAACTTTTCGAGTTTTTGAAGCGTAACCAAACCAACCTAACATTTTTCTATATAAAACATTATACTGACAAGCGATGTACAGAGGTGCACGTTCTGATATTAATATTTAAAATTAAATCATCACCGTGATGCTCAAACAACGTTTGGTCTTTATTCAATTGGGAATCCTGCCGCACTTCGCACCCTTGTTTCTAACTTTTGTGTGTTTGTGATATTTTTAATTATTATAAAGTTATTTAGTCTTCATTTTTTGTTATCAACTAAATATATGCAGAGCTATGACTAGCGCAACCTGGTCGAAACATCAGGCAATTTAAAACATCATTTATTACGTGATCACGTTAATTTTCATTTACATGCATAGATTACAATTATATATACTAAGCGGTCACAAGAACCTTTAGACGTTCACAACGACAAAGGTATTTAATACCTTGACCAAGCATTGACGTAAAAACCCATTGTCAGACCTTGTCGCATTACAAGGTCTCGGAAGTCTTCACACAAAATCTCTCTTAAGACATAATAATAATAATGATGCAACACTATTTTTTATATTTTTAAATGTATTATATGTATATTTAATGAAATAAAGAGAACATTAATAAATTATTTATTGGAGTAGCTAAGACTCAAATATGTTAGTAACAATTTGAACTTACAGCTAGTACGTTTTATAAATTGCCTCGCAGTGACAGGCGCGGCTGAAACCCCAATTGACTAAGCCCAGCTTTGCACCGAGGCTCGGTGTTCGATCGCTCAGCATCGTAGCTCTGGTGCTAATACCTCAAACAAGAATGAGCTTTTATCTCACTTGCTTGAGGTACTACTTTTCTTGTTTTTCTTTTGGTCTAAGAGGGCCAACGGTTGGTTACCTGCAACTAAAGACTCATGCGTTGTCGCCCTTTGAGTTCCTGGTTGTGCTCCGGTAACCTCATTCACTCAGTGAGTAGAAAAGAAAGTACTGCTTAACACAGGTTTTATGTGAGGCCGTAGCATCTCTCCGGCTCCGACTCCGGTCGAACCGACCCATTTATGCCGAAGCTTGGCTCTCCCACGACTAAAATGTGTACAATATCTTTTATTATTTTACTTCAGACATAGGCTCTCAGCATTTACTAGGTATCATCAACAGCCTTTAATAGTCCACTGCTGGACCAAAACGGCCTGGTAGGCCAAAACGGCCTACTATACCACGCTGGCCAGACGGGTTGGCATAGGGTTTGTGTCAAGTTTTCTTTCTCTTTGCAGTACCGTTGTCCTGCGTAGCTCGCTCATTTAGTCGGTTCTTACGACACCCAGGGGATGAATAGGGGTGGTGACACACCGTATTCTTAATCCATCACCACTCGGACAATTATTGAGGTTTATTTCTCACAAAATGACTGAAAAATTAAAGTCCCTCTTGCGACAAGTTTTTTTTTAAAGACAACTCCCGCATTAGTCATATATGTCTGTGTCGTGGGGGACTTTACAAACATACATGAAACGGACACAAAGAACACCTAACCTCAGAACAATAATTAGTGGATCACACAAAGTGTTGTTCCATGCTGGGATCGCACCCTGCTACTGTTTTAACACGAAATTACACTTCAACAAAATGTGTTTTAAGTCATGTTCAAATCTGGCTTATATACAGTTTTCTTTATAAATAATATCCTATTCACTATTGTACATTAAATAAATTATGATCTATTGAGAAGTTAAGATGCTTAACTATTAGAAAAAAAATGTAAGTAAAATTTATTTTTGCGTGTCAAAATTGCCTTTCATTTTCTTGAGAATTTATTTTTACATAAAATATAAATTGGGGTGAGCGGAACATGTAAGGGAAAGAAGCTAAGTATAACTAATAATCAGTAAAAGAAGGCTTGTAAAGATTATGAAGTATCGACTCAAACACAAAAACCGTGTGTGATGTCCACGAATTCTTGACTGATCACCTGAGGGCCTGGACCACGCTCTCGTCAGCGAGTGCGTTCTGCGTTGCATTGTGTTGATCGAGTAGAAATGAAATAAACTTACACAAAGTCCTCTGATGAATAGTGAGTAGAATGAACGCCTGCAACTCAGAAGTTACAAGCGTGATGCCGGCCATTGAGGTGGGAGTATCTTCTTTTCTTGAACGTTTAGAAAGTGCATCGATCCGGAAAAACCACAGTTGACAATTTGTTCCACAGATTGTTTGTGCCAGTCAAAGGTTTCTTGATAAAGCCAGGTGGTTATCAATACAAGTTATGAACGAAAGTAGAAGAAAGATTACTTACCTACTAAAGAAGGGGAAAGTAATAGCGTAAGTTTATTTTTCCTTTTGAGATATCACCCGAAGTTGACCGTGTGGTGACGGATTAAGAATACAGAGTGTCACCACCCCTATTCATCCCGTGGGTGTCGTAAGAGGCGACTAAGGGAGGAAACTACGCAGGACAACAACACTGCAGAGAGAAGGAAAACTTGAAACAAACCCTATACCAACCCGTCTGGC